AGGATTATTATTTTCTATGAACAACAACTTGCATTTATTTAGCTTCATGTAGGGTAGCATCTTGAAACACTATCTTTTTCATATTACAGATGGTTAGACACTTGACCACCTTGAAGTGCATACATTGCATTTTGTTTTGAAGTGTTTTGCTACTTTCTTACTCTTTGGCAGCAACAGATAATCAATGTGTTGCTGTAGAGAAAAGCGGAATGCCATTTGTAGAGTCTTATGAAACCTTTTCCGATAGAAAAATATTTTAAGTGCAATTGTGAATTGCAAACTGAGTGTCGTTTTGTGCAGTGGAGTTGTAACAGGATTTCAGACAGCCCAAGTCATTTCACTTCAGAGCCTCATCTAATCAACTAAAAACCAACATGGTTGGATAATAATGGCAAGTGCATATATATAGGCACCACTCAATCACTCGCCCACCCACCTACCCACTCACTCACTCACACACAAAGTTTTAAGTGACCTGGCTCACAATCCATCCCCCACCCCACCGGTATAAAGCAAACATCATTCACTTCATGGCTGTTTGTAGGACATCGCTGTGCAAAAGTTAGTTGCCTATAAATACACAGTCATTACACTTACTAGAGTTTACAGAAAGCTCTGTGAAGCGCTTTATGATGTTTTGAATGTGTTTTGTTTTGCATAAATAAAGGAAATCATTGAACTGGCTTTTAGATGGAAGCCTTTCTGCTCATGCTAAGGCCTTGATGAGATGTTGAACACTAAGGATTTAGAGAACGTAAATGTTGGCTTAAAAAATATTGAATGTTTTTTCAGGCAATCGAGTCAACTGGAGATGAAGGTCACATTTCGATCACCAGCAGGTTTGGGATGAGGTCTCACAGAAATTCAACAGGAAGGTCATTTGAAGTGGCGGAGAGGGTATAAAAATGGCCAGAAAATAACAATTTGCATTTATAACCCACTTCATGTAGTCTCGGAGTGCTGCACAGTAGTGGGGTTGGATGCCAAGCAATGGGGATGAGGAGGCGTAGTCGAATAGGTAGGATTTAAGCTTAAGAATTTAAAAAGAGATCAAGAGGGGAGAGGCGGAGTTTCAGGCAATAGGCAGGGAGTTCCAGACATTAGAGGTGTAGTGGCTGAAAGCACGGCCACCAATGGTGGTGTGGAGGAGTTGAGGGAAGAACAGCAGGCCTGTGTTAGCCGAACGGAGGGGGTGGGGCAGAGGAGTGAATTTATTTACTTCATGAAAAAAAATCTGCCAAGTAATTGGTACAATTGGGAAATTACATGCAAAGCGTCTCAAAGAATCCATTCCGAGCAACCAATCATTCCCAGTTGTCATTGACCCGATACTGTACATTCACATTTGCTGATGCCTTTAGTGTCAAACGAAGTGAGGGCTGTGTGTGTTTTCTTTACCTGCCAAAAAAATAAGGTTATTTGCAATAGTTGCAGGGATAGTAATCCATAAAATTAAGGGAGGTGAGAACACTTGCCAAAAGTGTAATATGCAAACAATTTGCAAGTTTCACTTCTCAACAGGAAAATTCTATAATTAGCAAGAGATTGGAGTTTTATGGCGTGCAAGCTATCTGGAATACTGTATAAGATAAAGGAAGTAATTTTGGAACTGTGCAATATCTAGGCTAGGTCACATGTCGAGACACGTGTCTGATTTTCATCACTGTACTTACATAAGGATATGCCATAATTGCTGTGGCGTGAGTGAGTACAGCCTCGAGCGATTATGATTATTGCTGAGCTAAAGTTCACTGATAGATAGGAGCTTGTGTGTTCTTGTTATGGCAAAGAAGGTTTAAGAGGTGATGCAATTATTTTAATTGATAATGGAAAATGGATAAAATAAAAAATAATATATTCTTCACTGGTTGGAGGGCATGGCCCAAGAAACCATTATAGCGATATATGGAAAGAAAGAAAAACAAATACAGTAATTAAATTAGACCAAATTCATTCTGTCTGACAGTATTATTCGTGTATGTGGAATAACAGAACACCCAAAGTGGTTTATGCAATAAAAGCAGCCTTGATTAGAATGTTTTTATGGTCAAATCCAGGAACTTCATTCCAATAAAAGAAAATTGATAGGTATGAACCACTTCCTCTGGTTATTCAATTAGCATGTTCATATTTTACAGGTTTTAAAAATGTTACATTTTAACCCTATTTCTCTCAACCCAGAAAACAACCAAAGCAGATGCACATCCACCCTTTACAAGCAAATATCAGCCCAGATTTGGAACAACAATAACTTGCATTTATATAGTAAGATGAGTGTCTTGAAGTACTTTTATCAAATAATAGGGAGAAAGGGAAGAAGGATTTCAGGGCATTGACCAAAGGCACAGAGTTAATAATAATCCTTGCATTTGATCTTATCACGTTGTTGAGACTCCTCAAACCACTTCACAGAATATATTGTGAAGTGGATTGACTGTGTATTTTGTGGGTGAAACGCGTCAGCCAATTCCACACAGCAGTGTCCCACAAACAGTCATGGATTGAGTGAGACCAAGTTTAAAAAAAAAGAAAAAAAGTAAGATGGTTTTGAAGTGAGAAGGAGCAAGGTGAAGGGATCTTGTGAGAGAGCAGGAACTCTCTCATTGTGGCTGAAGGCTCAGCTGCCGATGGTGAGGCTGAGGAGGTGAAAACAAGGAAATGTGGATGTATTTTTGGATTCTTTTTGCTATTTCCATGACACTTGAAATCCGTAAACAGGTGTGAGGTGTTCATTGCCTTATATCCATTTTTATGTGGTGAATATATTTTTTTAAATCTATTGCTACTGAACACAATGGTTAAAAAAAAGTTTCAAACTCTCTATTTAAAGTAGCTCCTGATTGAAATAGTAAAATAGCAATATTAAAAAAAGGAATGCCTCCTGATAGCCTGCTCAACAGTCCACCAAATAAAAATGGATACTCATACTCACTTCATGGCTGCTTGTGGGAGACTTCTGTGTGCAAATTAGCTGACACATTCACCAACAAATACACACTGCAATACAATTTACATTTATAGCGCCTCTCACACGGGAGGATATCTCAATATACCCCACAGTGCTGGATGGGCATACAGGCTGGGAGCTGGTGGGGATGGGGAGGAGAAAGATGACTAAAAGCACGGTCAAAGAGGTTATATTTTGAGAGTGCCTCGAAAGAGACCAAGGAGTCGGAAGGACTGAGATGGAATTCCGTGGGGGGCGTGGGGGAGGGGGCGGGAGGAAAGAGTCATCAAGACACCTCAAAGCGCTTCACAGAATATACTGTCAAGTGAATTGACTGTGGGCGAAACGCGACAGCTAATTGTGCACGGCAGTGTCCCACAGACAGTCGTGGATTGACTAAGTACCGGGTTCCCACTTACTGCTAGGTAAATAAAGACGTGTGAAGTAAGGAAACTTGCCTAACGTTTCACCTCGCTCGGGAGTCTGCGAGGAGAGTGCTCTAACCACTGAGTTACAGGACTCCACATAGTATAGGCGTCTTTCATTTTTGAGTTAAATCATTTTTGAGGAGTTAGATTAGATCAGCCATGATTGAATGGCGGGGCCGGCTCGAAGGGCCGAATGGCCTACTCCTGCTCCTACATGTTATGTTATGTTATGTTATGAGTTGTGGTGCAATTTGAGTTAATTTTTACAAAAGAAAATTCCATCTTCATTAAATGACAATTCTATATAGAATATTTAGATGAATCCTTCCTATACTGTTGCAATACTAGAGGATTTACACTGGAGGCACTGACGAGCTATTGCTCACTTTTCACATTGATATCAGCAAGAAGTTGGAGCCACTGAGCTCATCGTCTCAACCTTCCCCCTTTGTTCCTTTTCTTTTGATGTTCTCATTTTTAATGATCACTGCAATAATATTTTGCAAACAAGCAAGAAACCACTGGTATAAACTCCACACAGGAAACCATTGCTCTTCACAGAATGAGCAATACAGGATTTTCTTCCGACTTCAGAAGACCCTCAAACCCTCACCCCTTCCAATGGATTCACTCACAACATCTTCACTACTCTTGTCTATCGGGCCAACCCATTGGCATTGAGACGGTCTTTTGCTACATCAATCACTCAAATGTGAAACATTTTAGAAAGCTCTCGACCCTGGGAATTTGCAAAAGTTACTCTCGTGATTAGATTAGAACTTTGCACCTCGCAACCAGCCAGTTGTTCACAGCAGTGTCCCACAAGCAGCTATGGAGTGAACCACCCAATTTTTTTTGATTTGTGGTGGGAGGGATTGTTGGCCAGGATAGGTGTGCAGAGATGGAGCAGCTCTTTCTGGGCGCACTGACCTGAATCAGTTTCAAGTCACAATGCAAATAATGTTCCCAATGCGAGAGCCAATTGCGACTAAAACACTGCGTTATGTATGGCGCCAGCATTGGCTGGGACATCCCGCATGTGAAGCAACCTATAGTGCAGGTAGTCATCGGCTGCTGATGCTTCAGTCCACTTTGTAGGTCCTTACAGAGCACCTAATTTCCAAAAGTGGGGGTGGGGAAGTGACCAATATTTTTGGGTGATTGTGCAACTCTTGGACTACATGTGTCCAACCAGGAAGGAGGGGGGGGGGGGGGTGCATTTTTTAGGATTGAGAGTGTGGGTTTTGTTTTGCACCAAAAGACGACACTAAAAATTAAAATTGCTTCACGTATTTCCCAGGGAAATCCATTGGTTTCACAGTAATGTTTTGTGAAGCCCTGTGAGAGACATCTCGAGGACGTGATCAGGACATTAAGTTAAATGCAAGGATTATTATTATTATTATTATTATTATTATTATTATTTAAGCCAGTTGAGGAATAGGGGGAACTGCTGTGTTGGCTGAGAGCAGCTCAGGCTTTGTCTCCATGGTTTCCTTGGCATGAGCCTTGCTTTTGGATTGGTGTCTCTGCTGTCTGCTGCTCAGGTCTCTCTCTCTCTCTCTCCCCCCTTTCCCTCCTCTCCTCCCTTCCTCCCTCCCTCCATCCCTCCCCCTCGGCCTCTCCTGCCAGCAGCAGGCAGTCAAGCAGCTACACAGCCCAGTGGAGGCGGACCCCACAGCCCGGCACTAACCGTGAGAAGACGGGAAGAGGAGCCTCTCATTGCATTTGGAGCAACGATAACAACAGCTCAGCGCAGTGCAGCTTCACCCATAGCAGCTGTGAGGGTGAGTCCCTCTCCCCCTCCACACTCACTCACTCACTCACTCACTCACACACACTGCTCACTGTGACACACACAGCTCTCTCTCTCTCACACACACACACACATAGCTCACTGTTGCACACACAGATCACACACACACACACCCTACACACAGCTCACTATCACACACACCACACACACACACACCTACACACAGCTCACTATCACACACATCTCACACACACACACACACAGCCCACACACACACACCCTACACACACACACCCTACACACAGCTCACTATCACACACAACTCACACACACCCTACACACAGCTCACTATCACACACACAACTCACACACACCCTACACACAGCTCACTCACACACACACACACACAGTTCAACTCCTTTGTGTTGAGAAGCAGTTTCCTTCCTTCAGCTGTGGTTTTGCTGCTGGGCTTAGAGAGAGAGAGAGAGAGGCCAAGGGGGGGCAGAAAGGGAAAGGGGGGAGAGAGGAGAAGGGAAGGGGGTGGGGGGAGAGTCAGGGGAAGGAGGGAGAGAAAGAAAGAGGAAGAAGAGAGCGAGAGACAGGGGGGAAGGAGATCGAAAGGGAGAGAAACAAGAAGGAGAGGGGGAGGAATTGATGGGGTGGGAGAGGAAGACATGGGGAAGGAGAAAGAGAAGGGAAAGGAGAGAGAAAGAAAAGGGAGGAAAGGGCGAGAGAAAGAGAGGGGGGGAAAAGGAGAGAGAGTGGTAGGAGAAAAGCGAGAAAAGGGGGGAAGGGGGGAGAATAGCAAGAAGGGGAGGGGGGGTGAAAGGAGAGGGAGAAAGGGGAACCAAACAGGGGGAGGAGGTGTAGTTGTCTATACTGTTCCTGAGATCCCTCACAGCTACATTTTACTGTATTTGTTTCATTTTCCAAATAAGAAAACACATCAACTATGTTGCTTTTGTGAAAAATCCCTGTGAATGAAGAAGATGTGCTGTTCATACAAATGCCTGTATTTTTTTTGGGGGGGTAGGGGTTGGTGGCGTTTGGAGGAGGACGATAGACAGAAGTGTAGAACATTCTCATTGCATTGTGTGCGAAGTAAACATCTTCCGACTACGTAGGCTCTTTTCCTGCTGCAATAGAAGAAAATAAGTCTTCAATTGCAGATCTGTGGCCAATGGCTCAATGCCAATGGGTTATTGTTCTTGTAGCGTCCGCCTGAGTAAGTGTAGCTCCTCAACAGTACCATAGTGTGCGATCATACACTTCAGAAAGGAATGTGCAGTGGTTACATGGGTGCGGGGGAGGGGGGTAAGATTCTGTGGATAAAGTGGTTTCCTGGGGGGCTGCCCTGTCACAGGACTCGACAACTGGGGTGCAGCCTTAATTCCTGGTCAAATGAAATGGACGATGTATAAAATTTGTAGGATGGTTTTGGTTCCTCGTCGAAAAAACCTTTCACTTGTAATGCTACAGTGAAGATGGAAAAAATGATGATGTGCCCACTACCCTAATTGTGGTTACTGTGTTTGGAAAGAGAGAGGGGGTGTGGGGGGGAAGGAATTAAAGTCGAACACAAACATGTTTATCAGCAGACTTGTCTCCAGATTCTATATACTTCAGTAGAATATAAAGTCTTGAAAGGAATGAGTAACGCAGAAAGGACCTGTCATCTGGTCTAATACTACACTGGTTGTGTGTGTCGGATGTGCAGTGTATGCAGGAATCAGTTTGCATGTAGAATTCTTTGTGTGAATCAGGATGCATGCATGCACTTTTGCACTGATGGCAAGAGTGGGATGGAAAGGCCCTCCTGATGATAGAATGTATAAAATATTGTGATGGCCAATGTTCTGTGTGGGTGTGTGGATTACATCAAACATGGCTTAGCTTCGTCAACACGTTTGGAATGGACACTGTTTGTCACAGAGTAGATATCCATATTGCAATCCGTGGAGTGATTTGTGAGCCCTTTTCACACTTAACACACCTTACACAGCAGGTATTCGTTTTGGAAGCATCGAGTCCTTCAGCAAGTGTCTCTTCATCGAGAACATTCCCAGCTTTGTTTTTTTTATTTGAAATCGAGAAGTGCACGCTTGCAAGGAAGTAATGACTCTAAATATTATTATTATTATTGTTTTAAACATCTTGGTTCATTCAATTAATTCACGGTTCTTTGAGCTGTGCCTACTGAAACAAAATCAGGTTGGTGCAAAGAAAAGAAAGGTGGAAGCAGAAAGTGTTGTTTGTTTCAAGAATAAATTAGATACATTTCTGTTAGAAAGTAATATCTTGGGATACAATTTATAGTTTGCGACACAATGTGTCAAGCGACTGGGAGGATGATAGATGGCGAACTGGATGGGTCTTGGTTTTTCACCTTTAAATTCTTATGTTTTTATTTACCCAAGTTTCACTTGAAGGTTTTTAATAAAGGGATGTTATCTATTGGAAGGAAAAAATCATAGAATTATGCAGCACAGAACGAGGCCATTCGGCCCGTTGTGTCTTTGCCAGCTCTTTGAGATTGAATTAGATAGCTCTTTTCACTTCCCTGCGCTCTCCCCATAGTCCTACAAAATCCCCAAATAATTATCTATGTTGAGCAGATGCTTCTGTCTCCCATTTACGTCACTCTCCCGTGTCTCCACGTAAAAAAGCATCATTGAGTCACTAGTGTCAGCATGATAACGTTCTAAACCCAAAGAAACCCTATGCCAAATGCTTTCATGTGAGATAACTTTAAGGAGGTCTTGATGCAATCACTATTAGTTGCCAAAAAATTATCTGTTGGCATCCTTGACTCCTCATAATCTAAACAGTCTTTATATGTGGTGTGGCCCTGATTCGTTTTACCTATTTAAAGTACTTGGAGCAAAGTACCTCCTAGTCAGCATTCTTACCTCTTCAGACTGATCATTGTCAGTTCAGACTTTGCTTAAAGTCTAAACTCCATTCAATGACGTCTTGAAGTAATTGTATCTTGGGTCCATTCTGTTCGAGTCACCAGAGCCTTTCAGTTGAGATCCACTGTTTTAAAAATGGTGATGTTTTAATGCAATTATTGTATGTTTTGTGGTGGTAGAAAATTAGCTAGTTAAACACCAGCAGAAACTTCCCCAGTGCACACTCTGGGGTTCCCCAAGCTTTGGCTCTTGGCAACTTATGCCTATCGCTATCCGGAATTAGGTAAGCAACGGGTGTCCCTCCAGGGAAGGAGAATATATCCACTCCAGAAACATGAACATTTCTATGAGAAGGCGGAATGTTTATGTAGAAACCATACTCTTAAGCATGGTGATGGGTTTCCACGTGTGTCATAGACATCCAGCTACTCCCAAAAATAAGAACTTGTGAATAGAAAGAACATCTATACACAGCCGTTCCCAGTGAAGTGTTTTGAGATGGTTTGATGTTGAAGGCATTACATCAAAAACAAGGATTATTAGTCTTTTATGCAAAGAACAAAGTATGCAAACGTTTATCAATGGGGGGCGTGGGGACAGGAGAGGTAAACAAGAGGATTCTTTCCCTCAGGGACATTCTGAATCTTTAATACAGTAGCTGAATGTTCCCTTCCTTTTCAGCCCTAGGACTTTGCAGAACACATGACCTAAAATGCTTAGATTTAGTATTAAGTACATAAGAAAAGCACTCGTGCAAGATACAAGTTGCAATGTAGTTTCAATATGTGGCTCTTCCCTTTCTTTCCTATCTCTTCCCCACCCCCAACAAGCAACAGTACTGTGGAGAAAAATCCCTTATGAAGTGGACCTCAAACATGGTCAAGCAATCGAGCTGGGGGTGGGGGTGCGGGACAAGAGGGAGGGGGGAATTATGGTTAGAGAAACAAGCTCCCTGCTGCGTGAGCAGAACACCCTCCATATCTTAAGCTAACCCCATACAAACCATTGTTTGCTGTAACCTGATCTCGATGCTGGGTTGATGTTGGTAAGGACACAGACACATGGGGTGCAACAATAGCTAAAAGGGCTGCCTTTACCAGGCCCCTTGTTTTGTTGGGTTTTTCCCTTTACATCTCCTCTGTTTCATGTTGTCTGTCTAGAGAGCTACCTTGTTATCCCTTTGCTCTTTATTTTCACTTCTGACTGATACTGTCTCTCTCCTGTCTACCACCTGTCCTGCTGTTTCCTCCAGCTTTCCCAATGCTGGTGCCTGGTTTCTCTGGTGTATCAGCAATTCATTCCTTTGACTGTGACTCACAGCCGTTTCCCTGACGTCTATCAGTGGTACCAGTGACAGGAAGGTGACAGGTGCCTTGAGGCATTTGTCCCAGAGAAGAAAGACGAGACCATTCTTCTAGTAGTTATCATGGGTTTACAGAGCGCTGATGGTATAGAAATACATTTCCCCTTGCCTATCCCTACTACCTCTTTCTTCCACACTGCCCCCATCCCCCCCCCCCCCCCCCCCCTCCATTGAAGTGTTTCAAATTATAAAGGGATTCAATACAGAGAAACTATTTCCTCTGGTGGGGGAATCCAGAACAAGGTAGAATAATCTTAAAATTATAACTAGGCTATTTAGTAGTGAAATCAGGAAGCAGTTATTCACGCGAAGGGTGATGGAAATCTAGAATTCTCTCCCCAAAAGGCTGTAGATGCTGGATCCATTAAAATTTTCAGGACGAAGGTGGATAGATTTTTGTTAGGTAAGGGTATCCGGGGATATGGAGTAAAGGCGGTTAAATGGATTTGAGATACAGATCAGCCATGATCTAGTTGAATGGCGGAACAGACTTGAGGGGCTGAATGGCCTACCCCTGCTAATATGTCCCCAATTCCCCCCTCCACTTCACAATGCTACAACTCATTTGCCAGAACAGTTATCAGCAAACATTTGGCTCTCCCGGTCAGAGTATCTGTCTGGGTAGCCGGCTGCTGTTGGAACTGTCACAGGTGCAATAGGAAGAGTTCTTATGAGCTTGTGACTGGGGGAAGGGTTGAGACCCACTGATGGGGCCGAGCAGAGGGAGCTTAACCCAACCGGGTCACATTTGACTTT